CTGTACTATGGGCAAAATATTTGACATTCCACAGTCATCAAACATAAATGTAATTTACCTGTGTTTAAATGTAAAATGAATGCGCATAAATGTAATCAAAATCTGCGCGCAAACGACTAGACTCAAGCTAGTGACCAATTCAAGCGACCAATCAAGCTAGCGACCAATTCTATCGACCACTAAAGTTAGCTATGAGAATCAAATTGTCAAAGAATCATAATGCGGTATGTGTGAAAACCACAAAACTATATGAAACAACGTCCTGTTAAAAAGTACGGTATATATTGTATTTTAACGTTTAAATGACCAGAGATAACCAGCATTTGAAGTGAAAAGAGGGACACTACAACACCAATGACGTCTGCAGCTGAATACACTGACAGCTTGCTTGATAAATGCCGGTATATAAATGCAATCAGTAAAGAAATATATAGTTTCTATAAAAAAAGCGTGCCAGCAATTCGAAAAAAGTCAAAACATCTTAATAAAGCCTGTGTCAGATGTATGATGTTTGATGAAATTCTGTATGTCTATTATTAAGACAGTCTTTGTTAACGAACTAGTTTTATTCCGCTGCATTCAAACATATACTATATATTGTAATATATGTATTTATATAAATGAAAGTGTGCCCCCTCCACGGACTTGGCACCATCGGGAAAGGCAAAAGTTGGGAAAATAACCATATTTTGACGTCTTCTTTACGTTTTCTGTGTTTTCGAAACTCTAAACCGAGATTGTAAACTTTTCTCAATTATTGCATATAAAATATTAAAGACGGAGTGTATATTCCCTAAGCATATAATGGTTATATAATAGCACATTGCGGATCAGAAATGAGAATAAAAAGTAAACAAACGGAATTAGAAAAAACAAAAATAGTTGTTCATGATGATTCGCTCGCACAATCATATTCCATATTCAGTGAACCGTAAAATGTGTGTCAAAATGCTAATTTTGGCATTCAATTTAGAAAGATCATATTATAATGAGTATGTGTACTAAGTTTCCAGTTGATTTGACTACAGCTTCATCTTAAACTACATTCACCAATAACGTTAATCTAATGCAGTATGGATGAATGGACAGAAGAACGAACGAACGAACGAACGAACGAACGAACACACAGACCAGGGAATATCATGAGCTTTACTGTCGTAGGCGGAGCATAACAATAGATATTTAATGTAAGTTGACTTAAACTTGTTTTTTAGTACAATGTATATGCTTTCAAATAAGAAAGATATTATGTGCGATAGAATTAATATATACTGGCTTTCATTACACTCTGCATCCTCAAATATCCTGTATTATTTAGAAAAGTAACTTTTAATGCCTATTTCCTATACTAAAACTGAAAATGAAAACATATGACAGAACAAGCTGTGGGAGTGTATTTCATGCCGATAATAAGTACTTTCAATTGAAATTATGTTTTTGTTTACTTTTTATTCTCATTTCTGATCCATGTGCTATCATATAACCATTGTATGCTTAGGGGATAGACATTCCGTCTTTAATATTTTATTTGCAATAATTGAGACAAGTTTACAATCACGGTTTAGAGTTTCAAAAACACAGAAAACGTAAAGAAGACGTCAAAATATGGTTATTTTCCCAACTTTTCCCTTTCCTGATGGTGCCAAGTCCCGGGAGGTGGCACACTTTCATTTATATAAATACATATATGATAATATTTAGTATGTGTTTGAATGCAGCGGAATAAAAAATAGTTCGTTAACAAAGACTGTCTTAATAATAGACATATTAGTATACAGAATTTCATCAAACATCATACATCTGACACAGGCTTTATTAAGATGTTTTGACTTTTTTCGAATTGCTGGCACGCTTTTGTTTTTATAGAAACTATATATTTCTTTACTGATTGCATTCATATACCGGCATTTATCAAGCAAGCTATTCAGTGTATTCAGCTGCAGACGTCATTGGTGTTGTAGTGTCCCTCTTTTCACTTCTATTGCTGGTTATCTCTGGTTATTTAAACGTTAAAATACAATATATACCGTACTTTTTAACAGGACGTTGTTTCATAATATAGTTTTGTGGTTTTCACACATACCGCATTATGATTCTTTGACAAGTTGATTATCATAACTAACTTTAGTGGTCGATAGAATTGGTCGGTAGCTTGATTGATCGCTAGCTTGAGTCTGGTGCGCAAACGTAATGATTTTTACGCGCAAATGTCATGCAAGGCTCTTCATATGGGATAACCTTTTTCTATCATAACCATAGTTATCAAAACAGTGTGAAAAGTCAATCCCTATCGTACACCTTCTAAGGCATGCATTTTCTTTGTGTATTTCTTTATAACTTCGTCTTTAAAATAACATTTTAAGCTCAAATTGTAATTTCCCATTTAAGGTTTCTATGAAAAATGTGACTCGTTTTTTGCCGCTTTGACATCTTTCCATATTCCTGGAAAGTTTCCAAACACGGCATTGTTCATTGTAATTCCGATGATATATTTTCGAAAAATATGCCAATTAGAATAAAAGAATGCCTAACGGCTAAACAACGAACAGAAATAAGAAATAAATACCGATTATAAAGCCTATGAAGACATCCAAGAGAAAAAGCAACCACCCAGTAGAGCTTTGATCGGGTTTAGTGGAGCGACAGATTGAACTTTCGAAGAACTGTAATAAAAAAAATTCGAAGGCCGTACGGCGACCTTTAGAACTTTACATCTACGTCATCTGGTCTCTGGTGGATAGTTGTCTCGGGGAAAGGAGAGACAAAAGACACCAAAGGGACATTCAAACTGATTAGTCGAAAAAACTGACAATGCCATAGTAAAACGATCGAAATACGAAGAACAGTAAACAAAACACAGGAAATCTCAGGGGCTCGTGAAGGGTAAGTATATCCTGCTCCACAAGTGTCCCCCGTAGTGTTACTAATGTAAGTACAAACCCGATGTACCAAAAGTTTCATTCGGTAGGTCATATTCGAGGAAAAGAAGAAGTGATTGTGGTTACCAGAATTGGAACATATCCGTCGTCAGGTGAATCCGATATACCATAACGGTCAAACCAACTCGTGATGGAGTCCGTAAAATTTTCGAAAGGATGATTTCAACTTCACCACTTGGAACTCTTGGATTAATAGCTTCATAGAAATTATACTACATCGTCTAATGTTTACATTACTATGTCAATTTTATTAATCCAGATGTGCATACTTGCATTATTACTATTATTCCTCGGACACACGTGCACAATCCCCGTCCTGTAACCACAAACAATGGTATTAGAAAATGATTAACATGCTCAATTTAACATTAAGACATTTTTAATAAAAAATACTCCAATTGAACCGAGACGTGTGTAGGATCACCACGCATTAAAGATTTAAACTTTACTGATCGAAATCGATAATCATAGATTATCGTTGATCATCTCAACGAGATGACCAATGATAATCTGTTTATCGCTATTTTACCTATGACGACGTTGTTAATTTCATTGTAAATTTAATTGACAATGCCACGTGCCCCCTTAGTTTCTAGCGATAATTTTTCATATCACTCTACTGTGCTGAGAAAGAAAATTATCAGTCATTAAGATCAAAGGAAAATGTCGTAAAATAGAGATAATGCATAATAATAACACATTTCCTACAATAAAAGTCTAGTTTGTCAACCCCTCAACGTCGAGTATATACCTTTTCCAAAAAACATCTAATTAATATAGATTTTTATTATCACCGCATACATTGCTTTAACCGCCTGGTCATGTAGATATTTTCGGATCGAAAGAAATTAGCCGATTTTAGAACACCAAGATATTTATAGCTACGATAGATAAAGCCGAGAAGAATAATTCATATTTCAGTATTCATGATTCAAAATTCAGAACTTCCACACCAAGAGAGATAATCCATGTCTCCTGCGCAATAGCTGTTCGAATCTAAATTCTTGGATAATCATGAATACACAAGGAATGATTTCACATGTTATATGTATGATACAAAACCTGATTTTCACCAAGGGCTTTGCAGTTGTTAAAATTGTCAGTGTAATCTTAATTTCATCACTTGATCTTATAATAATAAGGTAAAAGTGTATAGAACCTTCTTGATCCAAATAGATATTTTCAATAAATGTCTATAACATCACTAGTGCCGTTCTCACAGTCATTTATTTCATATCCCCAAAAAAATTCAGCAGCAATGTTTTTTGGACCTGTCAGCGATTTCGAGTTCACGAGATTGCTAGACGGATGGGGTTTGGTCATTGTTGAAGGCCATAAGATGAACTTTATAGTTGTTTTCCTCGACGTCATCTGTTCTCTGGTGGTAAGTTGTCACATTGGCAATCATACCACATTTTCTATTTCTATATGGACAAAAGATGCCATTCATAACTTAATAATATATGTATAAACTTGAGAAAAAACAGATTGAAGTTATTATTAAACTATTGTAAAGTCAGCAATATCTTCCAATTAGGTAGTAAGAAAAGCATTCGGCCCGAAGAATGTACATCGTTCAACTTCTAATACCGTCTCCCCGGAAACTGTCATAAAGAATCAATGAATCAGAAAAGGGTTATTCAAGCAATCAAGTCTCCACATAAAGACCGAAGAGAAGTACTTGTTATTTGTGAATTTGAAATCTCATTATATAAACTTTATTTTGATATTGCTGCAAAAATAAATCTTTTTATGGACAAATTTTCTTAATACTCCGTTACTAATATAAAAATAAGGAGATGTGGAATGCATCCAGGCATTAAGTTTAATATCATTTTCAACCGTGAGATGTATAAGTTTGATACATGGTTTGTACTTGACATGTAAAGCTGGTACCTTATATTGATCTTGATATTTCTTCTTTTTTGATGACTGTTACAGTACAGGAATGACTCATTTTATCTCTGATCGTGAAGATGATTAGTGTACTCAATGGCTACATGTCTTGCCGCAAGAAAAAGTATGTCATTGTTCAATCAGTTTTCATTAAAAGCCAGAATATTCTTCGTGAAAAGCAAAAATCATATGGATTGTTTAAAGGAAGCAAACATTTCTTGACAAAAAACTGCAATACATCTTTTGGACAAATCTCGTATTCATCACGAGAAAAAGGTAAATAGGCTATTCAAGATATGATACATATATACCATATATATATACAAGTCTAAAGTGAAAACAACGTTCAAACCTATGATTGCGTTGGATAAAAACCTCAATTTTTATACGTGTGCATGTAAAACAAATTTCTTGGTAGAGGGGTCTAAATATAGCACAAACAACATTTTCCAAAAGACCAAAAAAGTGAAAAAGTATATTTTAACAAAACGCATTTGACTAACAGGTCGAACAACGGATGTTCTAAAACCCTGCTGACTGCCATATATATATATATCGCCAATGGCAGTCAGCAGGGTTTAAGAACATCAGTTGTTCGACCTGCTAGTCAAATGCGTTTTGTTAAAATATACTTTTTCACTCATTGGGTCTTTTGGAAAATGTTGTTTGTGCTGTATTTAGACCCCTCTACCAAGAAATTTGTTTTGCATGCACACGTATAAAAATTGCGGTTTTTATCCAACGCAATCATAGGTTTGAACGTTGTTTTCAATTTAGACTTGTATATATATATTTATATATAAACTAATTAATATTAAGTACATGTACCATGAAAATTTAGCATTATCCCAGCAACTAATATTAAAAAGGGAATACTATTGATAGTGATAATACTTCCTATGGGTGTCTTCTTGCAACTCTACATGACAAGATTGATATTTAGCTAATGGTACTTCTTTACTTTTACCATGGAAGTACTATATTGACTATAGAGTACTTCATTGCTTTTACATAAAAAAGAGAAACTCCCTACAGAGCGTGTAAGTTTCTCCTTGAAATGAATTTCTGGTTATACCTCTTGTAGTTTGAAAACTCACATTAACAAAGACCGACAAATTGTTTCCATTCACAAAAATAAATCAAAATGCTTTTACTTTGCTTCTAATGGAATAGGGTCAAAAATGCCCATCTCCCTTTTTATGTTCTACCTATAAATTTCCTGCAAGGTTAGGAGGCGGGGCAGTGATTTTTGGCTTTCATGAACATTTATGAGTCCTGATTAGATCCTTAGTGAATTTATCATTTCCTAGAAGTCAAATAAGAATTTTTATTTAGATTTTCGATGATCTTTAATACATAGAAAATAGGAGAAAAGAGTAGGCACGTGTTAACTGCCCCCAAAGTAATATTGTGTTTTTAATCGCAAAAACATAGTATTTTTTTTTAATTGAGAAAATAAAATAAAACAGAATAGTATTAAAAAAAACCGTGGGGTTATGATCCTTGATGTAATGGTTTAAATCAGCAATTTCAGTTTGATTCCGCGCTTTATTCCTCTTTTGTGTGCACTCTCTCTTGTTCTGGAGTCTATCCTACAGAAATTTGTTTTAAAGCAATCTCGTTCTCTGTAATTTTCTTCAGGACATCTATATTAAACACGATTTCCAGTTCTCAAAACGTCCATAACATACGCGCGTTTGAAATCCGACACCTTATCCGGGACACATTTCGCCACATGAAACTGCTGCTGATATTGAACATTTTCGCATGCGTAAAAGGACGACCGGAATAATAGAGATGTTTATGGTTAACTTTTCTTCCGGCTAGCCAGAAAAATTAGACACCCAGTATAAATAAATGTATATGTATACAAGCATAAAGATATATACTCTGTCAGATCTAATTTCCCTCTTTGGTCTACTTAAACTCAATTCTTTGTTCATTGATATAACTAGTTGCGAAGAAAAAAGTTAAGTATAAAAATAAAGAGATGTGGTATGATTGCTAATGAGACAACTATCCACCAAAATTCGTACGTCCTGCAACAATGAAAAAAACCCATACCGTAAAGTCGGCTATTAAAGGCCCCGACATGAAAAATATTCAACAATTCAATTGAGAAAACTAACTGCCTAATTTATAACAAAAATAATTTACGAAAACAAATATGACAGACATGAAATCAACGACAACCACTGAACTACAGGCTCCTGACTTGGGACAGGCACATAAATATATGGCGGGGGTTAAACTAGTTTGCTGGCGCCAAACCCTCCCCACCCCTTACCTGGGACAGTTGTGTAACAGTACACGCATAAGAACAAACTACAAAAATCAGTTGAGAAGGGCTTAACTCATCAGATCGATACGAAACATAAAACATCTAACGAAAACACAGACCGGACGTGGCAGGGTATTTATACATCACCGCAACATTAAAAAACACTATAAAAAAAAATAAGTACATGTCTGAGAGTGCTCGCAGTTACTGACAGCTACAGTAGTTCAAAACCAATAACAACTAATAAAAAAAGACTAAAATATCAATCAGTACACATCCAACATCCAATGGATTTAGTGTAAAGACGTCATTAACATTCAGAAAAAAAACCACCAAAAGTAAGCTATTTTTAATTATGATTTACATTTGAAATTACTTACATTTTTTTTTATGCAAAACAAATGCTGTACATTTTGCACAAATGACCATTAATTTGCAGATCACGAAGATCGGAAGCATTTGAAAATCCTTAACTTGGAAATATGGTCTTAGTTATATTTAAAAACTGTAATTGTGAAATTTCGTTTCTGAAACCTCTGAAAGGTTGATATAATTCTCTGTATTTTATAATATAATATATTCATGACAAAGAATAAAACATCTTTTGAAATGTTTTTGATGTGTAAATTTCACTAAGACATGCACAAAAGAAGAGAACATGAACAGTATCTATCATAATCTAATTATTCCGAAACAAAAAACACTTATAACTTGAGAGCGCTCAACCAACCCACTAACCTGGGGCAGTGGTATAACAGCACAACATAAGAACAAACTGTTAAATCAATTGCAATTGGCTTAACTCAAAAGATCGATACGAGAAAAAAAGTATAACGAAAATACCGAACTCCAATGTGAATTCAAAAAAAGGGGGAAAGTCCATAAAAACTGACAAAATCAAACGTCAAAAACCAACGGAACGAGTGAAAGACATTTTTCATATTCCTGACTTGATACAGGCATTATTCCACAGGTATTGGTGGGTTAAACCTGGGTTTTAAAGCTAGCGAAACCTCCCACTTGACATTTGTTTATAGTTCCGTTTCATTAACAAAATTAGCAACCCAAACAGACGGCATAGGTTAATGTGACAATAATTGGGATCCAGCAGCCAAAACTTTGTAAACATACATCACAGACACGAACACAACTTACTTAAAAAATAAAACAAAATTTAAATATATATCTAACAGTTGACAGAGACGCCGATAAAAAAGTTTTTGTAGTTGATAGTACCTACCGTATACATGTAGTATATACTTTCTCGATAAAGTTCAAATTAAGTAAAATATAAATACAATGTAAACAAAATGGGAACTACAGTAAAAACCTCCTGTGTCCGAATCGCACCTCAGGACCAACCGGCACCAGGAATGCCTTGATTCATAAATACCGAGTCACGCCAAAAGTAATACGACTAAAAGAAACATAATAGCACGAAGAAAAATAAAGGGAAAACTGTAATAGCACAGAGACAAAGAAAGGGAAAATTGTAATGTGACGAAGAAAAATAAAGGGAAAACTGTAATAGCACAGAGACAAAGAAAGGGAAAATTGTAATGTGACGAAGAAAAATAAAGGGAAAACTGTAATAGCACAGAGACAAAGAAAGGGAAAATTGTAATGTGACGAAGAAAAATAAAGGGAAAACTGTAATAGCACAGAGACAAAGAAAGGGAAAATTGTAATGTGACGAAGAAAAATCAAGGGAAAACTGTAATAGCACAGAGACAAAGAAAGGGAAAATTGTAATGTGACGAAGAAAAATCAAGGGAAAACTGTAATAGCACGAAGACAAATAAAAGGAAAACTGTAAAGTAAATAAAAAGATTAAAGAAGTCTTTCTGTCAATTAGAGAATAGAAGAAGGTTTGGGAAGACTGGAGTAATGTAATAAAGACCTCCATAGGACAAAAAAGACATGGACAAAAAAAAATCACAATGAGATAACTTTTGTCTTTGTTTAACAAAAGAATTATTTTTACAAATCTTTTAGAAATTTTTCTTGAACTAACATAGTGAACAATTTTGTAAATAAAATCGATTGTCAAAAATTAAATAATAATAAATGATCAAATTGCTGTTGAGAAATCAAGCTGTCAAAGTCGCATGTTACTTGACGGGCTTTTGTGGTGCCAAGACATATATCCTTTGTAGACTAAAACACATGAAGGATCTCTAAATAACAACTGCATAATTTAATAAAATGGTTCTTATAAAAGAAATTGTTTCAAAAATTCGAATAATTTAATAAAATGGTTTACAAATTTATCTTATAAATAGAAATTATTTCAAGAATTCGTTCTTCTACATGATCTATATTCGTAACAATTGTAAACTAATCAGCTGCTTATTAATTGTGACTTTCTGTCTTGTGACTTTTTGTCTGATTAAGACTGGTTACTGGAGTGCATCTTCAATTTTGATTTTGTAACTGAACTTGATTGTGGACCTATTTGTTCATTTCATTTTTGTTTTAATTTATAATATTATTAAGGAGTCCTCAACTAATCGTGCTAAAGGGTTTATGGTAAACTATCTATCTATACTATTAAATGAGAAGAGTCGCTTCTTTTCCTTCCACATAATATCAATCATCATGCTTTTATGTCCTATAGGTACCATGCATAGTCGCATTTGTCATCCTCGCTTGCAAATATTTTGTTTGGGTTTTTTTGGGAGAAAAACGAAAATAAAGACGTCCGGATATTGTTTCCGTCCTCGGACTGACTTTTAAGTCATAGATAAGTACAAGGGGACAGGACAATTATTTTCGCGTTTTTTCTGTATACTATATAATTTGCTATTTGCTATCAATTCCAAGTTTATTTCCATGGATTGATAATAAATACCAAATAAACTATATTTATATAGTAAATGTTATTATGTATGTTCATAGTGTACAGAAAAAAACGCTAATGTAATTGAAATTAACAGAAAACAACAACAAAAAAACGGACTTTGGAAAAAGGGGGAGGGCTAAAAAAATTGTACTG